AACACCCTTTTCTTTCTAGAGGCCAAATTCTCCAGTACTTCCATCCAACAGACCCAGAAACAGCTCTACTTTAAATGGACTCTATAACGCAGGAGAAAATGCAAAGTCCTCTGTGATTTGAACAGCCCCTTGCCTGTGCTTTTCCATATCATATTTGAATTCATATAAATAATCTTATTCAGGATTCATTTCATTCTTGCAGCAAGACTCATTAGCATGCCTATCTCACAAAGGAGTAAACTGAGACTCAGAAAGGTAAGGTAATATGGTCGACACCACACAGCCAACAAGATGGGGAGTCAGAATCTCAGTTTAGATCCTTCTCACCTCAAGACCAGTACAGACAGAGTTGATCCACGTCCTGCTTAACATCACAGACCCAGTGGCCCAATTCAAACCCATGAACACAGCTGATTAAGATTCCCAAGCATACTGCACAGGCTTCTTCCTGGAGCCAACACTAACCCCTCTGGAATATTCACCATCCTGTCCCCAATGCCCACCCCAGGCCTTCAGTCTCTCCTCGAAGCAGGCAGAAGGAGGAATCATGTGGTGGATGGAGTACAGTGTTTCCACTGAGCCCAGGCCAGATATCACTGGCCCAGCTCAATCTTATCTGCTCTCCTTCTCCCCTTGGGACTTACCAACTCCCCCAAAATTGGAGATGAGTAAGAGAGGAAAGCCTATAGAGGTGACATATTATTCCACTTTTCATAATTTTAACTGAAATACCTGAGAAGAGCTTCTTTGAGACAGAGTATCACTTCACCTTACAATGAAAAATGGATTCAGGATGTGGCAGAATCCCAGCTTGGCAGGTGTGGCAGCATCAAGCTATGGCGAGCCAGGAAGCGAGACAGAAAACCAAAGCTGAAACTTAAGTCAAACTCTCCTCTTTCTCAACATCTCCAAGGGCTCACCTTAAAGACACAAAGACTTCCTTCCCATCAGCCCCAGTTCTCAAGCACTTAAACAGCTCCATGTTTAATCAATCAAACATTAAGAATGCATTTCAACAACAGCATGAAATCCCACTCAACCCACAGCAGGTGAGCAGGGCTGAAGTCACTGTGTTCACCCACTCCCTTGGCCTTAAACGGCTCCACTGAGAGCATTGCTGGAGGCTTGCAGGCCGAGGAGCAGCTACTGAGCCCCTGTTTTCTGCCAGAAGTTCTGGACAAAAGCTGAGCTAGTGATGGGCTTCAGACGAGCTCCAAGACACCGAGTGAACAACACACAGGTTTCCAGTGTGTGTTCCCCACTGGAAGCTTCCCTAGCCACAACCAGACTCTCAGAAGCCAATGAACTGCAGCCATAAACCTGGCTTTCTCTCCATTGGCCAAAGTTTTCTCAAGTGTGATGCCTCCAAAGGGTGGCAGAGTTTAGTTAGTCCCTCTGTGGCTCTGGAGAACAGATCTCTTAAAGCCTCTGTTTACAGCCGTGAGCTTTAGTGACTCCAGTGGTTCCTGCAGCAGCAAGCAACAAGCTGCCTACACTCAGGACATGGCTTTGCCTGCTTCATTGCCACTGGGTCCAACAGGATGTCTCTGGGATGCAGGTTGCACTGGGCCTCCCAGAGGCTGAACCTTCTGCCTCCCTTGGTCCTCCTTGGGACCCCGGGGCAATTTCTGCTGCCCACAGATTCTCAATCTCCAATGTGATTCAACAGCTATTTCCTGAGGGCCTTCTAGGGACAGTACCCAGTGTTGGGGCTACATAGATAAATGCTCATCTCCAAAGGACCCATCCATTTGGCCATTGCTGCATGTGGATTATGGGGACTCATGATTACCAGTGCCCTTGTCCCGCCTGGGCCATGCCCTGCTCCCTCCCACATCCCCTTGTCCCCTTGTACTTTCTACTTGGAGAACCCATCCCATCCTAATGAGCACACAGTCCCTCACCCTACCATGGACTCTGACAAGTTCCATCTGGTGTCTCCCCCAACTGCATTCCCCAGGACATGCCCTACCAACTGTTATCCCTCTCCCCAAGCTTCTGATGGAAGATTCCTTTGGTCAGAGTGTGGGAAGCCCATGATGTGTTTTGCTCAGCAGTGCCACAGGTGTTGTACCCCACAACATCCCTTATGCTAACACCATTCCAGAACTTGTGCTGGGACGCAACTGCTCCAATTACCACTTGAAGAAGAGATAGGGTGGGAGTGCTTTCCTCTAATCCCTGCCCTCTTCCCCCTTGGAACCTTAACTCTTTGTAAGCAGTTTTCCAGAAACTTCTCCACCCAAGCCTATGAAATGGACTCTGAATGCCCTGCTTCGGGCAGGCTCAGATTCTCAATGTCCTTCTTGAAGCACATGGCTGCAAGCTGAACAGTGCTCTCATGGTGAATAGGGGACAGCCAGGGACACTAGGGCCAGCCTCCATCACTCTACTAGAGAGTTAATATGTCTAACACATCACACCTTCCTGGAAGGCAGATCCCACCAGCAGCTACCTGAGCTTACAGTCCATGAACACGCACTGTCCACTACAGCTCATGGCCCCAACTGTCCCACACTCACCTCTTATATGTTCTTTCTCTTTCAGCCCATTGTGAGACTTTCAATTTATACCGATTTTATTTCTTCTAGTAGGTCTAGGTTTCTGATTTCCTTTTTCAATATCCTTTTCTGGTTGTAACTTTAATCCTTACCCACTCCATGGCCTTGCAGGATCAATGAGTGCCGTTGTATTGAATGAAGTCAGAGACAGTAAGTGGGAAACAGCACAGGGCTAAGGGCAAGGACAGAAACCTACTAGAAAGTGGTCCATTCCAAAGGAAGAATGAAGGCCTCAGGTTACGTCAAGAACAGTACTGCTAAGGTCCAAGTATAAAAGCATTTTCACCCTGAAAGATGTTACACTTACCTTTTCCACAGCACCAAGCCATCATATCCTGCAGTGCAACAGCACCCAACAAGTAGTATTTCTACCGCCTGTAGGGGAGCAAAAAAAGTGAAAGTGGCAGTACCACAGGTATCACTGCTGTGGGATGGTGACAAGCATACCCACTGTGCAGCACTAGGGGTGATGATGCTGGCCTGGGCGCTCCCCGCTCCCACAGTAAGTCACAAGGTATGCCTACCCTTGGAAGTGTGTACTGGTAGAGGCTTCACTCACACTCACAGAGGTGACAGAGGGGAAGGAACCTAATCTGAAGCACCGACCGTCTTCTGTGGTTTAAATACTGTCCCCACAGCCAGTTTCTGGCTACTGTGGAACACTTCTAAGTGATACCTAGGATGCTTGCCTAGCGTTGCCACCGCACATGCAAAGGCACAACAGCAGTGAAGGAGGAAGGGATGCGTTGTGACTAACATCCTTATTTCAATATAACTTACTTAAGTTATATAACTCCAGCTTTACCAATAGCTGCGTATGACAACTGTTCAGCTAGCTGTCACAAGCCTGCCTAAACTAACACACCATGAGCTGGGAAGGAAGAAAAAGGCATCATGTGGTCATCAAGAGGTCAGGTTCACAGCACAGGAAGCCCCTCCAGGGATCTTTAGAACTACCTCACAATTAAGTGCGAGCAGAAGGGACGATAAATCAGCCAGGGTCAAAACTTAGAAAATATGGTTTTGTTGTGCCTTTGCTAAGCCTGTGTCCATTTCTGGCTCATAGGCAGCAGTTGAAACCCCTGAGCCAAGGGGTCAGCCCTGGGGTCTTTGCCTCTACAGATGCAGCTCCCCACTAGGCAAGACTGCTCCCTGCTCTGAAACTGGGACAAAGCTGCAAATTGCCCCCCTCCCCCTAGCAGCCTGACTGTGTCCTGAGGCATCACCCCCTTGGTGGGTTCCTGCTCCCCTCTGCCTGGGGTGACCTAAGAGCATACTCCTGGATCCCCCCTCAATCACTCACAGCAACACCAGTCTTCAGAGTCCCAGGGACAGAGGCAGTCCCAAACTGTCCAGCTTGGATCAACAACTCCAAGATATGGAGAATGTCCTGCCCAGAGCACAGCTGTGAATCAAGCAGTCCAAGTCCAGAAAGAGAGAGTTATGTAGAGGATCTGGGCGATGGCCCAGCATGGGTCGCAATTAATTGTTGCCAGGGCATTTGGCCGGCTGCATTCATCTCTCACACAGCACAAAACTGTCATATTGACAACAACTTTATTCAACAGTGGTGCCAACTAGCAAGTCTAAAAACAGTGAGCAGAGACGAGCGTTCCTGAGAGATTTCTTGAGCTGTCATCCTGAAACAGGTTCTCAGCTGCAAGTTCTCTGTACCTAACATGCCACAACAGCACTCCACAGGAGGCACTGCGACCCCCATCTCAGAGAGCAGCATGTTCAGTCTCAGAAAGATGAAGCAGCTTGCCCAAGATCATACAGCCCAGATCATTTCAATGACAGTCACCCACCCTGCGCTGCCTGGCTGTGGAACATGGGAGGTCAGCAGAGCCACTTCTCAGGTCAGCCCACTTTCCTGCCACATCTCTATCCTCTCTGTCATGTCCTGCTGCCTTCCCTGAACCCCACCGCTCTTTCAGGGATGCAAACATGACCAAGGCCTCAGAGTCCCAAAGGCTGGGATTGGAATCTAGGCTCTCCAATTTATGGACTGTGGGCTCACATGCTTGACTCGAGAGGCCTGGCTTCTTCCAACTACCACTTGTTGACAGTCATTCCTACCTTCCAGGATGACTGTGGGAATGACATGAGGCCACAGATGTCCAGCATCATGCAGAGCAGCCATCGTAGCAGGGGTCCAGCAGGAGCTGTCATCATAAGCCAGAGAACATGGCCAAGAGAGGAGTCAGGTCCTGGCCCAACCTTCATTCAAGTGCTATAGATGGGCATGGTTGGGTCCTGGGATCTTCACTGCCCTCCCATGGGGCCAACAGGCTTCAGTGGTCCCTCCATGGGAAGGAACCTTGCCCTGACACAGACACAGAACAAAGTGGGGGTGACGAGAAAGATTCCATAAGCAGCACTTACCACATGCTGGGCACTGTTGTAAGTTATTTGCAGAGACAAATTCATTTGATTTTTTAGATTTTATTTAAAAGGCAGGGAGACAAAGACAGACAAATGACAGATCAATCAAAATTTCCATTCTCTCAGATCCTCTCCAAATGCTTTCAACAGTCAGGGCCAGACAATGTTGAAACCAAGAGCCCCAAACCCAACTTGAGTCTCTAACATGGCTGGCAGGGATCCAACTAGCTCAGCCATTTACCAGCTCCCATCAAGGGTACACACTGGCAGGAAGCTAGAATTGTAATCAGAGCTGGACTTGAACCCAGGGTACTCTGATGGCGCCATGGATCCTAAGCCTTGTGCCACTGCCAGCCCCCATTTAACCTGGAGAGCAAGCTGGTGTGGTGGTTCATCCTTTTCCCACCTAAGTGAAAAGAGCATGGGTGACTCCCCCAGGGCCCACTCAGCCCTAAGGGGAAAAGGGACCCATTTCCCAGCAGCACCTTCCATCTATGCCCCCAATGAGCCTTCACAGCTCCAGCACATTCCTCTGTGATGACCCCAGTTCTGAGAAACACGGAGGAATCTCCCCAGTGTCACTCTCCCCCTGCTCTTCAGTCATTTCCATAGGAGACACATCGAGAGGCAAAGATCTCCAAACAAGCAAAATTGTGGGAGCAGAGGCAGTCCTGGCTTAACCCCAGCTACAGCTGCTACACAGCCTTTCTGGCTGTGCATTCCTGCAAGCTCTCCTTGTCCCAGTTTGCTCATCTGTAAAACAGACAGAATCGGCCTCATGGTTTTGTTGTGGGGCTGAGAGAGAGGCATGAGGAACTGTGCCCGACACCTCCATTGATAACTCCAGCTACTGTTGGACGCCTCTTGGCAGTATCGTGCTGCCACACCAGGCTTGTCCTCACCTGCCCTGAGACTCACTGGCATCCTCATTGGCAAACTGGGGATAAGAATCAAACCTTGCTTTGCAGGTTCCTTGTGGATATGGGTGCAACTGCCATCAGAGTACTGGACAAGACACCTGACCCGTGCCATCACAGCACTGGGCAGGGCGCCTGGTATCCAACCTGTGCCATCAGAGCACTGGGCAGGGCACCTGGTACCTGACCTGTGCTTTCACTCCGGTGCCCAGGCCATGTATTTTTAGCATCATGAGCAGCTTTTCCTAGGAACTTGATGTTTTTTGCAACTCCCAACAGATCACAGGGTTATTTCCCATCACCACCTATGGAAGGGAAATAATTGCACGTGTCTGTTTTATAAATATAAGGGCTACCTAAAGGAGACCTGCATCTCAAAGCTTTTAAAGGATCACTTTAGAGGGGAAAAAAAAAAAAAACCTCTCGCAGTAAATCCAATCTGAGGTCAGAACACAAAGGAAAACGGGCCACCAAGTGCTACCCTTCAAGCTCTAATTTTCAGTTTCTTTTCTCAGAAAAAAAAAAAAAGTCAACAATCCCAAGCAAATCCACACAGGACCTTAAGCTATTTGCCAACTTTCGTTGGGGACAAAAAGGACTTGCAGTTGCTGTGTGACCTTAGGCAGGCCATGTACCTTCTCTGGACCTCAGTTTTCTGACAAATACAAAAAGTACAGCATTAACTTCACGGGCTTGTGGTGAGGGTCAAGTGGGAATGCTAATTCAACTTGGCCCAGAAGGCAAAGCATGGGGTCAGGTTGAATTAGTATTATTTGATACTAGTATAATGACTCCCAACTTAATGCTTAACCCTAGACAGAGACCTGTAGGAAGCTGGTGACTCTGTGTCCTCGTCCCTGGTCAGTCTGAATGCCCTGCTTTGACAAGCTCCATGCCCTCGTGTCTCCCGTCAGAAGGCACTCCAACCTTTCTGGAACGAAGCAGAAATAAAAGCCACTCAGCTTCACAGGGTGAAGCAACGCAGCCCTCTCTCGGCAGGTGCATCCACAAGGGGGGGGCGGGCAACAGCTGCTGTCAGCAGCCTCATGGCCAAGGCTGTTTTCGGCAAAAGCATGGCTGGTCCACTTGGTATGCAGCCCAAGCAGGATCGACTCTGTCCCCCAGCCAGCAGTGCCCCAGTTGGGAGAAAGAGCCTTGGCCAGAAGGAAGCCTCCTCCTGGAAATGCCGCTGTGAATTCTGCCATTTCACACCATTAGCCACTGAGCCAAGATATGCATAGAATTTTTAGAAGTGCAATGCTGTTTTGGAAAGATTTGCTTCTTCTCCCTCCCAAATTGCCAACCAGAGGGAGATGAATCCAGCCCAGGATGGGGCTGAAATGCAAGAGCCGTTAGGTGAGCACTCAAGTTGTCACTGCATTTTAAACACAGCACACAACATGCTACCCAAACATCATTCATAAGCTCGAGTCACAGGTTTCACACGGAAACCGGGCACATGTAGAAATAGCTCAAGTATGCCCAACAGTAGGAAAACAAGGAGGTATGAGGAGTCAAGGCCACAATCACTGTGCCCACCTTGAACATCCCAACATCTCAACCTTGTCATCATGTATGCTCTTGCATATAAGCCCACACGCCACATGGAAAATTCTAAACAAGCCAATGTCCTTGTGTTAAACCACACAGCTCAACGATGCAGTGTCAGAACCATGGTTATCATCATGTTGTCTCACTGTCCAGCTGCCTGGCTGCCCACTGGCAGAGCAGCCCCTCCAAGTATCTGCCAGCCTGGGACATTTAGTTCCTCCATTTATCACTTCCTCCTCTGATGCACCTGTCTTGGCACAGAACTCATTATACCAGGGAACTGCCCCAACCAGACTCCTGGAGTCCTTAGGCCATTGTGCTCACACACAGTGGGGTGTTGAGGCTGATGTCCCACGGCTGGAGGCAAAACTCAGATCTGGAAGGAACACAAGAGTCTGCAGCACTCGTGAGCATCCTTGCAGCCTTCGGGGGGGTCCTGCAGATGTAACCTTGACTCTGGTTCCTTCCATTCCTTTGCAAGCACCACCCATCCTTCCATGGTCCCCACTCCCGTAGTTCAGGAAGTCAGCGTTGGACTCACAGGTGGGGGGTTGGCTGAAGTGGATCCTGGAAGCAGCACTCTATGATGACAGGATTTTGTCACTTCCTCCCCACGCAGTACAACCACCAGGTGTGGGATCTGAACACCACTACAGATTGGGACACAGGGGGCAACACCAGATCCACAGGGTAGCTCCACTCCCAGCTGCTGCTGGCTTCTGGCACCTGATCAGTCATGCTTATGTGGCCTCTTGCCCACACGTGCCCACTCTGGTTCCCGCTCTGATGTTACTCGCAGAAGTGAACTTTCTGGCTTGGCCCATCTTAGTCTCTGATGAGTTGAGTGTGTGATTTTGAGTTAGGAGCTCACTAGAGTGTAGATCATGCTGTGTGCAAAGAGGAAGGGAAAAGAAAGTATTAGTGAGAGCCTGGGATGAGTTCAGGACAACCTCCCAAAGGCGAGAGGACCTCTCCACTTCTCACCACCCCACCAAAGCACTGTACCCACCCCACTACGGGGCCTTGACTACTTCCCACAAAACCACAATGAACATCTGTTAGCAGAGCATGAATGATGTAATTGCTGTAAGCACACAATATTATTCTCATCAGGATAGTTATTATGGCTGTTACTCTTTTTCCTGTTATTGCACAGCAGGTCTTGGGGAGAAAAGGGGAATGCATAGGACTGCTTACGTCACCAACAACTGCGTGCTCACCTGATAGCTATGTCCAGCAACTCACAGCTTGAGCTGGATGATACATTAGTACCAGGAGAAAGGTCCACATGACTGTGGCCAGGGCCAATATAGGGCAAATACTCTCGGGGCGTACAATTTAAATGAGGTGCCTGACCCTCCTGCTTCTAGCAGGCTCTGCACATCATGGCAGTGCCCCAATACCAATACTAGGCAGGGTAAGCAGGGAAGACAAGTCTCCTGTGCTCTCAGAAGAGGCTTCAGGTTAATTATGCAGGGCTAACAAATGAGATCTGCACCAAAAGAGGCCACTTTTGTCTATTTGGCAGAAAGAAAAACTACCTGCTTTTCACATCCTATAATTCTACAATGAGAAAAAGATTGGTTTAAGAAGCAAAACCAAAAGGAATAAACTAAAATGTGTTTCACTTTAATCCTATGCCTCTGGGAAGACTGAAGGAACTTTACTCAGTAGCTGATGTTCCATCTCCCAGAACCTGTCAACCCAGAGCATCACTGGTCAGCTGCGGAGCCAGAGGATTTGCTTACTCCCCTTGGGAGAAGGAGAAGATTGGAAGTACATCGCTCATGATCCTCAAGGTGAAGAGCCACATTTCAACTGCAAAGCCAGCGCTTCCTTCACACCAGTACTGCGCCTCATGGCAGCTGTCTCTCCTTCCCCATCTATGTTCCTGCTTCCCTTGAACATTTGTTGAGTATCTGCTGCATGGCAGGTACCCTCAGGACTGGGGAACACCATGGGGAGGGCTACAGGGACTGAAGGCAGGCCCAGCCTTTCAAGACACATACAGCCACGCTGGAGCAACAAGCAAGGAGTCCATGGGCTACTGCTAAGCACTGGGCACTGGCCAGGGCACTGTAGATGCAGAAGTCCATGACACAGATGAGTTCTCAGCCTTCAAGGGACAGATCACCCACAGTGTAACTGCAGCTGAGAGAAACAAGCCTGGGGAGAAGTATGCCCCCAGAAGAACTGGGCAGGCGAGTGGTGCTGCTTCAGGAGCGGATCACAGGTCTGTTTCCTCCTATAGACTTACAAAGATCTCACTGTTGAGCAGGCAGAATTCTCACGACCATTCCCAGCTAGAACCAGTCTTTAATGCAGGACCATCCTTGACTTAGCATGGTACAGCTGAACAGTCTTCCAACTTTCAAGATTATCTTTGATCATTCAGAGGGGCTATTCAAGGCTTTATTATAAAATAGGCCTCATGTTGGATGATTTTGCCCCAGCTGCAGGCAAATCTCTGAGAATGTATAAAGTCAGCTAAGCTAAGTCATGATGTTCAGGAGGTTTAGTGTGGTCAACTGCATTGTAGGCAGTTTTCAAGTTATAGGGGCAGAGAATCTAGCAGGATGTAGCCCAATCCTAAATTGAGGGGTTTATTATTATTAGCTGGTCCATATCGTAAGGGACCCAAAAATATCAACTGGTCCAAAGGCACACTGAGAAGGGGGTGGCAGCAGATGGAGACTCATGATTAGCATAGGAAAATGAGCTAAGGCCCAGGAGAGCCAGAAAAACTGTTATGCATTATCTGGGATCTCGGACAAATTCCTTAACGTTTCCCAAGTCCTCAGGATCCCCTCAGTATCCGAGACCCTTCCATACCCAATGCTGCCTTCCCAAGCACTACTGCCTGAGCCTGTGCTCAGCTCAAGGATGACTCTGCATACACACAGAGCCTGGATACATGGAGCTGTGCTCTTCCCCAGCTCCGAATCTGGGGCTTGCAGGTGCAAGAAACTGTGCTTTTCAGCATCCCCGAGAGGTCAAGTTCAACAATGCATGAGAGCACAGTTAGACTACCACCTAGGGTGGCAGTGTAGTAGAAGCAGCAATTGCTTCCAATCCTGTTCTGGAAACAAAGAAGGAATGGATGTAATATAAAGACGGTGCCAAGGTAAAGAAATGGCCAGGAAATCAACAGTCAAACAAAATGCTTGGACCATGCATGGTGACACAAGCCCATCCACCAATGGCCAGGAGCTGCTAATACCACCCCGCGCCATCCTTCCACCTACAGCTGAGCAGGCATTGAGCTGCTTTGATTCCCCTGTGGAAATCCATCGGCCTCCCTCCCCATGGGCTTCAGGGAAAGCACCAACTCTGTGCTTCTGGCTTAGAGGAAGGACAATGCCATCTCTGGGGACAGACATTCAGCTCCCACAACCCCTGTCATAGCCTGATCCCATCCTGAGGTGGCCATGGAACCTGACATCCCCACCCTTCCTCTTCCTCACCTGCCTAGTGTCAGCCATGCCCCCTGGAGAGTGCTGGGATAGCTGAAAATGTCTATGGCCCTGCCAGAGGTTGGGTGGGGCCTGCAGGGTGACAGGTTGAGAAGCCTCAGAGATGAGCCCCAACAGGGAGAGGATGAAGGAAACATGCTCAGAGAAGGCACTCTCTGGGGAGCGGGGCGAGGGATGTCCAACCAAAAGGCCATTTGCTAAAGCTCCCTGCTTAGCCAGGAGGTTCTGAGTGCAGACGTGAGAAGAAGGAAGATTCCTGAAATGAAATTGCCAAGTCAGCAGGTTCCACTGAATTAGGATGGCCTTATGTCATCTGGGAAGAATGGAGAGCATCAATATAATGACTGTACATGTCACACCATGAAGCATGATCACCACTGTGGGGTATCTGATGTGAAATCCCAGAAATTTTACCATCAGGAGAGGGGGCCAGGGACCATGAGGCTATGACCTGAGGCCATAGGTAAGCAGGGAAGCACTCCATGGAACCCCAAAAAGCAGGAAGCTCAACTGGGAGGAATCAGCAGCCTACTGTTCTGTTGCTGATTCGCTCCTGAGGTGGAGAGGGAGGATAGCAACAGCAGCAGGAGTTTTCCATGTGTGGCTCTAAGCAAGAGCACAGCAGCACAAGGCCTCCTATGGGACCTTCTGGCCCTCCCCTTTTCATACAGAAGCTCTTGTTACCAAACCTAAGTGTAATCACGCCCAGGTAGCCACAAAGACGCCCCTAGTCTCATCCACCTCCTCAAGACCAGCCTGAAATCTCCTTCCCCTGGTTGACAAAGTCCTCCTCACCAGGCAGGGCAGTGACTCACCAGTAAAGGTAGTAGAAGAAGGAGAGAAGATAGAAAGCCAGCTTGCACCAGGCCTCCTTCTGACAGTAGCTTAGGGTGTCTGCGTTCATAACCACCGGTGGGTCGTAGGCGAGTTCCGAGCTGTCTGCAGGACAGTGGAAATACCTGGAGGACAACAGGGAAGCAACATAAGGGACTCTGAGGCATTGCCTGCGCCTCGCCCTCCCGGCACAGGACTCCAGTGACCAGCAGCTATCTGCCTTCCACCAGTGTCAGAGTTGGGCACCTCTACAGTGTGGCTTGATGGCCACCTCCTAACAGGAAGGACACTCGGATACGCACACAACTGCTCTGACATATAGAAGAAAGAGTGTGTCACTTGCTGCCATCTGGAGGCACCAAGAAGGGACTCCTTCCAGCAGAGCTGCAGGTGTGGTGGAGGCAGGGCCACCTTGCCTCCACACCACTCTACCTGCCATTTAACTTAGAAATTCATTGCATTGGATCTCCCACCCAGATTCCCCTTGAAAATCCCCAGTGCCCTGGGAGGGGCCTCCCACCTTAGGATGCAATAAATGTATAGGTTCTTCTCTGAGAGAGATACCCAGCATGGCGAAGTTGATGCTGACCATGTACAGGGACAGAGCACTTCCAGGAGGAGCTGGGGGTAAGTGAAATCACAGTAGGTGGAAGGCAGGAGGCAGGAAAGAGGCCTCGAAATACCACATCTGCAGCTGCTCCGTGCGAACCAGTCCAGGCCATGAAGGAGCCCAGGACACTGAGTCACTACCCTGAGAACCTGTGCCCTGCTCGCCTCCAAGCACCCAGGCCCAAATCTCCTGCTCATGAGCTGCCTGTCAATCACTTGCTGAGGGAGTTCTGAGAGGCCACATGTACAGGTCAGTGGCTCCCACAGTCAATCCTGACCAGGCATCTAAGAGTGGGTTCTTGGTGACAGACTGCACCCAGGCCACTTCCAGGCCACTCTGTGCAGTATTTACTCACAGAGCTGGGTAGCCAGCACCATCATCTAACAGCAGATCATTCCCCTCACCCCACATAGAAAGCTCTGTACCCATTGGCCATCGCTCACTCCCTCCCAGCCCTTGACATTCACTCATGTTCTTCCTGTCCCTACATATATGCCTACTCTGGGTTGTTTTCACAGAAATGGGATCATACAGCATGTGACCTTTTGCGCCCAGTTCCTTTCACTTATATTCATCGATGCAGTAGCTGGTATCCGTTCTTCTTTTCGTTGCCCAGTGATATTCCAGCCTAAGGATGTACATAGCATCCAGCTGACCCACTGCTCAGCTGCTGGATAATTATGGATAATGCTGCAGCTGTCTCCAGCACTGAGCTACAAGGTAGGCTTGAGGTTAGTGCAGCCACTGGGAGGTGCCTTCCCTGCTGAGATTTGCTGCCTAGAAGCAGCCTGGGAAGGTGGCTTTGGGCGGGGAGGGGGGGTAGTTCCTGAAGGCAGGCACAGGGTGATTGACCCACCTGGGCTGTCAGTGTCCCTGGAGAACAGGCTACTCGGACAGGAAGCAGGCAGGGGCCAGGTGAGGCAGACTTACCTCCAGAAGTGATAGAAAAGCAGTGGGACATTCAGCCCCAGGGTGAGCCACTCCTGTGCACACAGGAACATGATGCAGAAGAGGCTGTGGATGGAGTATTCCGGAAGTACCAGCTGCAGAAGGAGCAGAGACACGGGTTGGGGTTAGAGGCCAAAAGCCATTCCAGCTTCAACAGCACCTGATACTGTGTGTCCCACGGAGGTTATGCAAATGGCCTCCCACAGCCACACAGTTACTACCCCAATGCTGTGATCCACCTCTGCCAGGTTCTCCTCCATATGGTACTGGAGCTTTTTTCTCCCGGGCCCAACTGGGCACAAACCCTCTTCACTTGCACCCAGGGATGACCACCAAGAAGCAGGTTAGGGATGATGTAGTCCCTGGCTATCCCTTCCAAGGTAGAGCCACCAAGACAGTGTGCTCAGAGTCCCCAGTAGCTCCTCGGCTGCTTACTCTTATCCTATCCCCTGTGAGCTGTCACCCCCAGTAACCCATAAACCTGAATGGAATTGGTGCTCTTGTTCCAAAATCAGGAGCATCAGGAAGAACCTGAGAAGTAGCACTACAGAGGAGCCAAAACAAAGACAAACAAGTGGTTCTTCTCTCCTCCTAGGAGCTGTCACTCCAGAGGCAGTGACACCAGTGGATGGACATGAGGTACAGGACCTCAGCACCATACTGACCGACCACATCGGTACCCCCTTCCAAGCACCTCCCATGTCCTGGGAGCTCAGGGGGCCAGCCCTTGGAACTGGAGGCTGAAAGTCTGCTATGTGTATCTCCATGCTGTCCAACCATCAACGTACACCTCTTCTGTCGAGGTGTGACACGAGAGAGACGGCAGCCCTGAATCACCTACTATGGCACCACCCTGGGTTCCAACTCCAACAAATCTCTGAGTGGATTCCAGGCTTGTGCATTCATCACCACTGCTCTATTCTCCCTGGGGCCTGATGTGTGATGGGAGCTACAGCCTTCCAAACCAGGAGGATTCATCACTGTGCCTATGCGAAGGGAAACTGCTTACTGAAGGCCAGCTGTCTGCAGAGGTCTCCAGGATTTCTAGGGATTGAGGAGGTGGGTGTTGTCCTGGGTGGCCTCTCCCAACTGTCCCTCTCTATGTAGAACATGGGACAGGGTCCCTACAAGTCCTGGGCTCCTCACATGGCTCCACAGAGACCTTGAGGAGTGGCAGTGCCTCTCTACAATCCCACTCCCCCCTTCTCCCTCGTCCGCAGGATGTAGAAGATGCAGGAGACTTGCTCCTTCTAGACCAAACAGAAACCAGCCCATCCCATGGCCATAACCACTGTCCTTCATCATCTTCCAGTTTGTGGCCCCTGAGGCCCAACAAATAACATTTCCCAGCCCCCTAGTGGCTGGCTGGGGTCCTGGGTGCTGTGAGCAAAACAGGTGTGAAGAGGAGGCTGCAGCACCTGATGGCTCAGACAAAATGCTCCCACGCATCTCCCTACTCTCTCTGACACAGCAGACACATGGAGGGAGGTGGCTGCTATACTATTCAGAAACATAAGACAGGCCCCTGCCTCTGTGATGGACTCAGGGTACCAACAGAGCTTCCTGTAGCTAGATAGAACCTATCTCATCCAAACTAGTCGGCAAGCCCTAGAATGAGTCATCAGTGGAAAAGCCAAGCTGCATGTCCTTGCCTCCTTCTCCGCCCCCAGCCTATCCACACAGTCCTTTCATGAGCAAGCCACAGAGGCCAGCCTGGCATGCTGCCCTGTTACTGGACATGCCAGGGAGGGGCTGGCCACCAGGCAGGCATAATACTTGCTCTTTTGTATGCACAGTTGTACCTAATATTTCCTACCACTGATCAGTAAACAACTATTCTGTAATGAACACTCCCAAACTCCCCAGGCAAAATATGGAAACGGACTGAAGCACCACCATAGCCCCATGGCCCTTGAGGCATCTCTGAGCAATGGAAAACTGTGTTTGCTCATAAAAGAGGCTGATGAATGGTGCTAGTCTCACTCCCTCATTCAATGAATGGAGAAACTATTTCAGGCAGGCCACAGTCTACTGAATTCTCATGTCTATTTATGCCTTGCTCTCTCTAGTGAAAAGTACTAAATTCATAGTCTCAATATAGGTAGGATGAGATTGCTGAAAAGACTGCATTTCATTCTAACCAGGGGGGATATCACAGAAGGTTTCCTGATCAAGGCATAATTATGGGAAGTTGGAAGCAACGAGTAAAGCCTAGTCGGATATGGAACACAGAGGTCAGTAATCTAGAAGTGGACCAATGGGCATAGTCACATAGAAAAGGAAAGAAGCCATCACCCGGGGTGGCTCTCTCCCAAAACATCCCACAGGCCCCACCTTCTTCAGGATGTGAAGGCCAAGCCAGAGACTGTGCGAGGACTGGATAGGTGCTAACATTATTCTACCTGTCCTGACTTCCCATCCAAGTTCCACCCACAGCTCAGCGTTAGGCCTTCCACCACAACCTCGTTTCCCCCAGAAACCCTATTTCTTTGTGTTTGACATGTTTTACACTCATTGATGCATCCTGTTATTCATTCACATATCCAACACTTGCTGCTTCATCTCCCTGGTAACTGTCACATACAATGGCAGAATGCTGTGGTGAGGGGCCCAACTTCTGCCTTATTTTCACTACAATGGTAGACAGGGACATTAAGGAGAGATTCATCTTGCTCCCAGAGGAACAAGAAATAGAGGATGTGCATGAGTTGAAAAGAAATAATGATGAGCCATGGCAGGGGAGGGGGCAGAGACGGAGAGGAGAAAGGCGGAGAGGTGCCAGGTGGCCCTCCTGTTGGAGAGTTATGTGCTCCCCACGCATCCTAGGAGAGGGGTTTTAAAGGGCTGATGGAAGCATGCTTGGGTCCCAATACATTGAGAACCTTGACCAAGAAAACCACAGGGAAGACTCCCAGCTGCGAGACTGAGCCTGAGTCTCCACCCACCTGCCAGCAGACCCTGTAAACTTGGACAAGCTTTTGTGCAGATATCACCTTGAGCTGAAAAGATCTGGCCTCTCTCCATGGCTATGTGAATCCTTATCTGTTACAGGATCATCTACAGTACCAGATCAGGGAGGCCCAGCGGCGTGGCCTAGTGGCTAAAGTCCTCACCTTGAACGCACCCGGGATCCCATATGGGCACTGGTTCTAATCCTGGCAGCTCCACTTCCCATCCAGCTCCCTGCTTGTGGCCTGGGAAAGCAGTCGAGGACGGCCCAAAGCCTTGGGATCCTGCACCCATGTGGGAGACCCGGAAGAAGTTCCTGGATCCTGGCTTCAGATCGACACGGCACCGGCCGTTGCGCTCACTTGGGGAGTGAATCATCGGACGGAAGATCTTCCTCTCTGTCTCTCCTCCTCTCTGTATATCTGACTTTGTAATAAAAATAAATAAATCTTTAAAAAAAAAAGTGCCAGATCAGGAAAAGTTGCCAGCAGCACTGAACCTGTCTTATGGGTAAAACACCACACCTCCCAGCAAGGCACATCGGACAGGTGAGGGAAAGAGCTCCCAGAAAAAAGAGACTCCTGTTGGGACAAATGTGTTTAGAGAGGAGGGAATCACAATTCTCAGATGCTAACCTACTCACTGTTGGCAAGGAAGTCAGAAAAGCGGCCCAGAGCCAATGATATTTCCTAATTTTCCTGATAAACCCAAGCATCCAGCTTCCACATGAGGTTAGAAGCACCAGGGACTATTCCACAGCCTGCAGGTTGAACCAGGGAACCCCAAATCTTGCCTCTTCTCAACAACCATCTTCAGTTCTCTGTGTGTCTGTCCTAAGAGTTAACAGTCTGTGAATGCAAAGAAAAAGCAAAAGGTAACAGTGTATCTTTTATGGGACTGTCCAGGCCTGCTTAAATGGGCCCTAAGATAGACAGTTGTCCTGAAGGTGAAGGCAATTTTCTCATAAATCCTTCACATCTGTCCCTAAATGAATAGCAACACACTGGCCCTGCTCAGAGTACACGGGGATTGGGGGGAGGGGACAGCAACAAGATGGGATAAGGTTTGGCAAGCTTGGGAAGTTAGGGTGTTGCTACACAGAGAGACTACGACAAAAGAGTGCCTCTTTAATAACCTGGTGAAGGTCACCCAACACAGACTACACCAGCAGTCTAAACATCCAGTCCTGGAGGGTGGGCAGTCCAGTCCTGGTAGGCACTGCCCTGTCAGGGCCCCACAACCCAACCTCAGAGAGCACAATAAAGTGAGAGCAGCCCAACAGTGAGGAACAGTGCATGGGCTGACTTGGAAGGTTGCCTGTCTGGTGGTGCTCAAGTGCTAAGTATGTGAATCTGTACCTACATTTATCAGGTATCTTCATTCATTCATTCATTTGAGAGAGGGAGAGCTCCCACTTACTGGTTTACTCCCCAGATACCTACAACAGATAGGGTTGGTCAAGAGCTTGGAATGCAATTTAGTTCTTTCACATGGATGGCAGGAATACAATTGCTGAAACCACCACTGCTGCCTCCCAGACCTGAGCTGGATATCAAACCCCAGCACTTTGACAAGGATCCCACAAGGCAACCAGGAAGAGTTCAGCTCCCTGTTCCCCAGCCCTGGTGCACCTGCCCTGCCTCCTCTTCCAACCCATTCCTTTATTAGAATCCAGCAGTGGTCCAGAGCCACCTGGAGGTCTTGCTAACATGGACTGCCAGACCCTATGGGACTTGGATGTGGGTGGATACTTGGAGTCTGTCCTTTATGATGACTTCCTAAGTGAGTCATTGAGAACACTGCTCCTCTGATTGTGGTGCCAAGACCATATTGCCAGCACCACCCAGAAGCTCCCTGGAGCTGGAGAACTGGGGCCCTGTCCCAGATCTCCTGAATCAGAACTTGCACTTTGCACAAGCTCCTCAGGTGATGTATAGGAACATGAAAGTGTGACAAGTAGTTGCTGAGCACCACCCACCTACATCACTCACCTGGGGCACTTGTTTAAAATGCAGATTTCTCAAGAGCCAGCACTGTGGTGTATCAGGTCAAGCTACTGCCTATGATGCTGGCATCCTATATGGATGCTAGTTCATGTCCCAGCTGTTCCACTGTGACCCAGCCTCCTGTGAAGAGCCTCATAAAGTAGCAGAAGATGACCCGAGTGTTTGGGCAACCACATGCAAGACTCAGAAGAAGCTCCTGGATCCTGATTTTGCCCCAGCCTGGATGTTGCAGCCATCCTGAAGTAGACTCTGGGGCCAAGAATCTGCATCTTCAGAAGCATCCGGGTGACTGTGTCAGACTGAAGCTGAGACATGTAGACCAAAGGTCGGGAAAGCACCTGAAACAGACGCTTCTGTTCTCCTACACCAGAGTATCCCATGTGCACAGAAATCCTTATAGTTAGCTCTGCTTACGGGACTATAGCCTGGGGAGAGAGTGTGGTCATGCGCACCTGGCTGTCAGTAGTCCCGTCACCACTGTTTGGCAGAATTCCAAGGCTCCTCTGGTCCCTGCACTCAGCAGCCTCCAGTCTTGGGGGGCCGACTTTGGCATCTTCCTGGGATGGAGGGCAGTGCTTCAACATCCTTACACTCCCAAATCTTCCTTCAGGTCCCCCCCATATTCTCCCACTCCTCCTCAAGCTCACCACTTCACCCTCTCAGTCCTCTCCCACCAATCTGTAGCCTTTTTGGTGTCTGCTCATTCAGGAGGTGACTGATTCCATGTAATCCAACCTTTAGACGGCAGCCCTGCCCACTCCTTCCCATCCTTCTAACACCAGTCTCATGCAGCATCAGGAGACACCTGGATTGCAGGGGCACCGCTGCCCATCTCCTCACACACGCGCTAAATGTCTACACTGCCTGAGAAGCCACCGGGAGGAGGGGAGAATGCAAGCACACTCGGATAAATAATGCCCCATTTTCCAACGGATGTGGTTCCCCTATGACCTACTGCCACTTCAGACATCCTACCCCTTGCAGAAACCCTCTCCTTTTCTTACTTTCTCTAAGCCAAGGATAACGTGGCGGGGGGGGGGGGGACGGGGAGTGGATCAGGTTCAGAGAATGAGGAGTCATCCGGCAGAGGGTCAGGATGCTTGAGAGGGGCACTAACTGTAAGGAATGTTCCAGAATGCAGAGGACAGGGTGACAGGTCCCACAAGCCTTGTTCCAGGGCTGAAAAGCCCCCACTTAGGCACTCACTCAAAGTTAACCAGCAACAAGCTCTAGCTAGGCCATGAATGTAAAACAGCCTGAAAAGGGGAGATACAGTGTAAGCAGCAGCACACACCTCACAGTCCATCAGCCATGAAAAAGGGGGAATAGTATCATGGCTTAGAAAATTAAGCCTCAGCCTACCATGCCAGCATCTCACACTGGCATCAGTTGGAATCTCAATTACTCCAGCTCCAATTCAGCTCCTCCTAATGAACCCTGAGAAAGCAGTGGACAATGGCTCAAGTGCTCAGGCCACTGACTCTTCTGGGAGACACAGAAGCAGCTCCGGATTTTGGTTCCTGGCTCCTGGCTCCTGGCTCCTGGCTTTGGACCAGCCCAGCTCCATCTGGGGAGTGAACCAGCAGATAAAACATTTCTCTTTTTCCTTCTCTCTAAAATTTGCCTTTGAAATAGAAACAAGTAAATCTTAAAACACACACACAATGAAAATGGACAGTGAAGGACAAGTGGAGGCAACCTACAGGAACGTGGCCTGGGGGAAAGAGGACAGAACCAACAATTCTCACTGAGGGAGGGAAGCAGAGAGTGCCCCGTGGAGGAAATGCCCTCTACGCCAAGAACACAGCTTGAGTTCTGCTGAGGAAGGCACAGCAGATGCCACGAACCCTGAGCACCATCCCTCCACCCAGGTGCTTCAGAGAGTTACCATTCCTACTTTTTGTCTTACTTATTTCAGAGAAGGAGAAAGAAGAGTGCACTTCTATCTCCTGACTCACTTCCCAGATGCCTGCAACAGCCCTTGGATGGGACTGAAGCAAGAAGCCAGGAACTCAATTCAATCTCCCATGTGGGAGGCAAAAACCCAGAAACCAGCCACTTAAGCCATCACTTACTGCCTCCTATGGTCCGCAAGAGCAGGAAGCTGGAGCCAGGAGCAGAACCTGCTACGAGTTCCAAGTCCAAGATACAGGATGCGAGCATCTTTACCACTGCACTAACTGTTAGACCAAACGCCACTTCTTTTTCTTCAGGTTCTGAAAGGGCCATCACCTACAAGCTCTCCACAGAAGTGACCTGAAAGATTTTCCTTGATAAATCTGAGAATTTGCAGGAAACACCTGCAATGACCGCACCTTGCAAGGGAAGACCATGGTGACATGGAAGAGGCTGGAGGGAGAAACAAGCCATATCTTGCATAAAGTGGCTGACAGTGAATTCATCTGCCCAAGCTTGCTGGTAAACTTGAGCCCAGCTGTGAGACCTGCCCTCCTAGCCTCCACAGGGCCCTCCTAGCCCTAAGCAAAGAGCAGAGACTGCAAATCCTGAAGAAAAAAAGATTGCATCCAACTCTGAAAGCCTTCGTAATTCAGTGCCTTTGCAGAGTGGCATTTTCCATGTGAGGCTCCTTACCTAAGGAGAAGCCGGCACT